ATTCAAAGTGAGTCGACAGTGATACATCATAAATCTTTATTTTGATACTCACCCAAACCTGGAAAACCCACTTTTGTGACCAAATAAAGAAGACGTATCACATTCAAGTCACCCCGGGTCAGAGAGAAATGGCAAACTGTAACAGACATTACATCATAGACAAGTTCCCAGTCCTTATTGTAATACTGCACACTGGCCTTGCTACGTGGCGAACAGAGGCAGCCTAGAAATAAAAGCAAAAACAAACAGACCCAAGCAAGCGGGTCGGCAGAATGGCTGCAAGCGTGCAACGGCTGAAACAGTGAACCGTTCAAACTGAGGAATCAAATCGAGATCACTGGGCTGTTAAAACAAAGCTTCCTACAGAGATGGGGGAGTGTCTCAGAGGTTTCTGGGCAGGGACGCAGACGGCATTCATGGCGCTGAATTATTTGTTGTTGAGACTGTTTGTAGTAACCAGGGTAAAAGCAATAGTGGTCTTTGTGGGGCGAAGCTTGTGGAATTCTTTGTTTGGGGCAGAACTCTATATCGGAGGGCCCTGGTGTAAACAGAGACCCTGGGTCTTTGGGGACAGCCCGTGGCTGACTGACCTTCGCACACTGTTTGCCAGGAAAGCAGACTCCAGAAGGAAGGGTTTACAAAGGCGGAAGTCCACGGCTGGGGAGTATTTACACCCCTCTCAGATGTGTTTATAGAGAGTGGCCCATGTGGTCCTTGGCAGGAGATTCACTTTTGTCTGTGCTTGTTTTGGCTCTGCCAGACGTGAAGGTGGCAAACATTCAAAGTCAAGGCCAAGGGCAGAAGGCGGCCACCCCCACTAGCACGGCCTCTTGAGGCGCCTTTAGGCAGCTGACCTGAGGGGGGAAAACTCCTCTTAGGATGGGTACAGTTGGGTGAGTCTGAAGGGGTGAGTCCGGGTGTCGGTCTCGGGAACTACACGGCCCGCTGCGGGGAGTGAATCTGGGTCAGCTGCAGGCAGGGCAAGCTCCTCACCGACTGCTTCTCTCTCCAGCCCTGCGTGTCTGGCTTTAGTGAGGAGGAAGGTTCTGTCAGGGTCCTCACTCCCCACGATGGCAGTTCTCCTGATTCTCAGCCCGCATCATCCTTTGTACTTCACAGACTCACACAACTCTGTCTCTTCTCATTCTCTCAACAATAAGGTGAGGTAGGTCTTGTGGGCTTCGAAGTTCATGGCCAACAGAGACCTGAGACCTGAATGGCCATGGGGGTGAGGAGGAGGGATTGGAACCGGCCACTTGAATAGGGTTCCTAGCATCCAGTGCCTCCTGTGAGTTCCTGCCTTGGGAGTGCCAACCCGTGGAACCAATGGGTCCAATGGGTCATTCCGCACCTCCAAATCCGCATCTCCCAATGGACCCCAACTTCTCACCTCTGAGTGGGCCCCAGGCAACTCTCTGGCTTTTTCTGCTTTTGCCTTTGCTCCCCTGCTGTGACTCCTCCTTGTGGGAGGGAACTTCCCTGGTGTCCTCAGGGTCAACCCTCTCCACAACAACCATCTCCTGCTGCTGCTGCAGGCTCTGGTCTAGACTACGTTCTCAGAGGCAGACACAGCCACAGCCCCCCAGAGATTTCTCTGATCTCTTTTCAGCCAGTCCAGGGGGTGGGAGAAGGCACGTTCTCCACCCCGCCTCCCCCCACCCCTGCCCCCCACACCTCCCCTGGCCCGAGAGTGCTCCCTCCCCTCCCCCCCCCCAGCTTTCCCTTGCTCCCTGCAGCTGCCTTGCAGGATTTACACCATGTTTCTTTCATTTTATTTTTAATTTCCTTTTGGTTTTTGGGCCACACCCAGCTGTGCTCAGGGCTTATTTCTGGCTCTGCGCTCAGGGATCACTTCTGGCAGGGCTCGGGGCACCATATGAGGTGCCAGGGATCCAGCCCCCGTGGGCTGTGTGCAATGCAAGAACCTTTCCTGCTGTATTGCTAGATTATTGCTCCAGCCCCTCCACCACCTTTCTATGAATGTCTGTGTCTCGGTCACAGCCAGTAAGGCTGGGGGCATGGAGGGGGGCACTCCAGGGCCACTCTCACCTAGCAGTGCTTAGAAAGGGCTGTAATCAAACTCAGGGCCTCTACCACGTGAGCTGTCTGCCTTTTTAATTTTTAATCTTTTTTTAATTTTTTTTTTTTGGCTTTTTGGCAATGCTCAGGGGTTACTCCTGGCTCTGCACTCAGGAATTATCCCTGACAGTGTTCAGGGGACCATATGGGATGCTGGGAATCGAACCTGGGTCGGTTGTGTGCAAGGCAAACACCCTACCCGCTGTGTTGCTAGATTATTGCTCCAGCCCCTCCACCACCTTTCTATGAATGTCTGTGTCTCGGTCACAGCCAGTAAGGCTGGGGGCATGGAGGGGGGCACTCCAGGGCCACTCTCACCTAGCAGTGCTTAGAAAGGGCTGTAATCAAACTCAGGGCCTCTACCACGTGAGCTGTCTGCCTTTTTAATTTTTAATCTTTTTTTAATTTTTTTTTTGGCTTTTTGGCAATGCTCAGGGGTTACTCCTGGCTCTGCACTCAGGAATTATCCCTGACAGTGTTCAGGGGACCATATGGGATGCTGGGAATCGAACCTGGGTCGGTTGTGTGCAAGGCAAACACCCTACCCGCTGTGTTATTGCTCCAGCCTCTGTCCCTGCTTTTTAAATCAAGGTCTGTGGTCTGTCCCATGCCTCCCACCTTCCTGTCCAAACCCTGGATACCATAACCTTCTTCCGGGTGTCCTGTGGCCTCCTGTGAGCCCTTGCCCTGCCTGCCGGGCTCCTGTCCTTCTGACCAGAGGACTATGAGCCAACTCTGAACGCTTTCCTCTGGGCCATACTAATGACACAGGAGAGAGTATTTGGGGGACATGGTAACTATTCAAAGATTAATGTTAACAGTCAGGAACTCACCCCTTTTATATTTATTTATTGCTTTTTGGGTCACACCTAGCAATATTCAGGGGTTACTCTTGGCTCTGCACTCAGGAATTACTCCTGGTGGTGCTTGGGGGAGCATATGGGATGCCGGGGATTGAACCTGGGTCAGCTACCTGCAAGGCAAACGCCCTACCCGCTGTACTGTCGCTCCAGCTCTCTCATTTTATGCTTATGTCTCTGCCAGATGGTGTTAAGGGATCAGGCCTTGTGATGCTCGGGGACCAAAGGCCAGCTGATCACACGGAGGCTGGGCATGCACTGCACAGTCTCTTCAGACCAGGAACTTGCTCCTTTTAGCCTTCTAGATGAGTTTTTGTTTCCTTCTTAGAAAAAAAAAAGTAACTTGTAAAAATACATGAAAACGTCAGAGCTTACTCTCTCCCCTGAAATAAGAGAATCCAACCACACAGAGGGAAACTGAGGGAGAGTCCCCTCTCTTAGCTCTGCCATTCTCCTTCTCTCTCACCACTTAACCAGCAGAAGACCGGGCAGCCAGCCCTCCCAAGCCCTTGCCTGACCTCCAACAGACATCTCAAAGGGCCCCAGGGCTGCTGCTTCTGGCGCCCAAGCATAGGCCAAGCCTGGGGCCAGCTCCACACTCCAGGTCTAGAAATGAATGACTGTAGGAAGGATTGAATGAATGAAAGCAAATCTGACACACTTACACAAGGTTACTTTGTAGGTATTTTTTTTTAATTGTAAAAAAATGGTGATCTCAATTTTATTTTATTCTCTTTGCTTTTTGAGTCACACCTGGCGATGCTCAGGGGTTACTCCTGGCTCATGCACTCAGGAATCACTCCTGGCGGTGCTTGGGGGACCATATGGGATGCTGAGAATCGAACCTGTGTCAGCCATGTTGGCCGCGTGCAAGGCAAACGCCCTACCCACTGTGCTATTGCTCCAGCCCCGGTGATCTCAATTTTAACTATCATTTTTTTTTCTTTTTGATTTTGGGTCCTGGGGTGGGGGGGTTGCTGCTCCTAGCTTAGTGCTCAGAGGTTGCTTTCCGGAGATGCTGGGGGAGGGGGATCATTTGGTCCTTGGACATCCCACACGCAAATCATGCATCCTAGCTTGTTAAGCTCTGGCTCTCACTTCATCATTTCTATTGGGCTACTGCCATTCCCCCCCCCCCCCCCCGGTATTTAACATGTTTGGGTGAATGACAGGAAAAATAGCACCTGAGGCCACCACTTTTTCAGTGTAGTATAAAAACATGTCCAGTGGAAAACATACTTGGGCAAGAAAAATAATGTTGGTGTTCTTTAAAGTCTACTTTGTGGGTGTTTCAGGATGGTTTCTAATTTCAAAAAAATGTTTTTCTTGTTATTGGGCAGAGTTTTGTAGAGAACTAAAATCAGAGACACATGTGTGCTTATCTTACGTTTGATATTTTTGAGGAAAGCCACACCTGGCGATGCTCAGGGATAACTCCTGGCTCTGCACTCAGCAATTAATCCTGACAGTGCGTGGGGGATGGAGCCGGGCCAGCTGCGTGCAAGGCAAGCACCCTACCCGCTCTGGCCTCAACATTTGATTTCCCATGCCAGTTTACTCTCACCCTTGGAAGAGTGAGTTTTATTTTTTCCAGCTTTATCCATCATGATAAACCTCTCTGAGATGCTAGAATGTCGTGTCAACCACATGCCTACAAGTGTGTGCGCTCCAGGCAACTAATTGTTGTCACAGGTCTTACCTAATTTCACTCGGTGAGTTTAAGGTCTTTCTGATTTGGCCAGAAGAAAATTTAGAGGTAGGGAAAAGAGAGCGTTATATTTCACTAGAAACGAAATTACAGAAAGTCAGGGGGGTTTGTCGACTTCGGGGTACAGGGAAAGCCAGCATCTCTCTAGATACTGTCCCAGGGAGCCAGCCGGCCTGAGCAGAGCCAGCACTGGGTGGCCCCGGTATCAGGCTGCTGCCCTCTGGGCCACTTCCTCCCCCTTACAAAACTGTTTTGGATGGGAGAGAAACAAAGCCTCAGCCCATCCCATTTAAAATATTCCCTCTTTGGGTATAGAACTGCACTGGCGGGGAGGTGGAGGTGGGAGGACACCCCAAACCCCCAACCCAAGCTGGTCCCACCCTACTGATGTTCAAGCAGATCAGTGACTGCAGATCAAAAGCCTTGTAAATCTCCCCACACTCTGCCCACGGGCATTTATTCAGGATTAATGAGCTTCCAGGTGGAATCAAGACCATCATAAAGAGACGGTGAAGGATACAGGGGCATTATCACACATTATTTAGGCCAGCTGAAACACACTTGGATGTCTGTAGAAAATTGAAAAAATTGTTGTTGTTGTTCTTAAGAACAGGGGCTAGCTAAGCGAAGGGCTTCGTTGCATGAAGATGAAAACCCCGTGGGCAGAATTCAATCGTACCCACGGTGGCGGCGATAGGAACCCTGGATTCGGAGGCCAAGCCTGAACGGTCACGGACAAGGTCAGGTTCCCGGCTCCGTGCTCAGAAGCCCAGGTCTGGGTGCAGCCGGTCAATCCCGAACAGCAGCTCAGGGATGTGAAGTGGCTTCAGGAGACGCGTGGACAGCACCATCACCTAGTAGCAGGAGGACAGACACAGGGCACACAGTTAGGGACACCACGCTCGGGTTCGGAGATGACGACAGAGAGAAGACTGCAGCACATTTCTGGGGCGTGATGTGGAGAGCAGGCAGAAAGCAATAGTCTGAAGACCCGCCCCTGCAGGCTGGTGTCCACAGACACTCACCCAGGGGCAGGCGGGAAGGCTGAGAGCCTGAATGTGATCATACGCCAATCCATTAGCCGATGTGGAAATCTCAATCCAGAGATCGAGATTTCTCTGGGAGCACATGCTACTTTGGGCCATGAGAAAGCCTGCTAGGAGTTGGCTGGGGGCGTGGGTGATGGGGAAGATGGTTTTATGGGGTACCTAGTGTTGGTGGGCCCAGCGGCCTGGGGTGGAAGGATACCTTGAAATCACTAGTGAAGAGTCTCCATGTGTGGCTTCTAAGACCACCCCCATAATAAGTGATGTCTTATTATGCCCAGGAATTTCTTATTCCTGTTATAATTTCTGGAACCTGGGGCTGGAGTGATAGTACAGCGGGCAGGGAATTTGCCTTGCATGCGGCAGACTGGGGTTCGATTCCCAGCATCCTATATGGTCCCCGAGCACTGCCAGGAATAACCCCTGTGCATCACCAGGTGTGACCCAAAAAGCAAATAATAATAATAATAATAATAATAATTCCTGGAACCTGCTTCAACCTCCCGGAGGCAGCCTACCTTTAATCATGCACCCCTCCCCCACCCTGGACCACCTGTACTTCACTCTAAACCCACTCCAGAACGCTGGACACAACTTCACTGGCCTCTTCTTTGTAGACCCAGAAATCTTGCCCTGGAACGCTTCAATAAACTGTGTCGTCCTGATTCTTCTTTTGGTCTCTGCTCTTTCCTTCTGTGAGCCCGTTTCCCGGGCCTTTCACCTAGTGCCCTGAACTGTGTGGTCTAGGGCAGGAGGTGCGGGGGGTTAAGGCATTCGCCTTGCTTCCGGGTTTGGTCCCCCACTCTGCATATGGCTCCCAAGCCCTGCTGTGAGTGACTGCTGAGTACACAGAGCTAGGAGCAGCACTGAGCGCCTCCAGGTGCTGCCCCCCCCCAAAAAAAAAAATCTCAGCAAACTGGGTGGCCTAAACCAGGGCTTCTTGATCAGAAAAAAATCTAAATCATAGTGAAAAAAAAAAATGGTGGGGAAGGGGCTACAGTTTGGCTCACACCCAGCAGTGCGGGAGACCGGCTCCTAGCGGTGCTCAGGGGAGCATGTGGTACTGGGGATGGAATCTGGGTCAGCCACATGCAAGGCAAGTGCTTCAATCCCTGTCCCCTCTCTCTCCGGTCCATAAAGGTCTTTGTTTTCAAAAATGCAGGTTGAAAACTCCACATTCAGTCACAGGACCAACCTGCAGTTTAAGAAGCTGAAGCCTACGCCACAGCAATGAGGATGATTGTCTCCTGATTCTAAAACCTATGGCGCAGGTGTTGGCACTGCTGGGGGTCAGGAAGGGGTCAGAGAGAACCCGTGCCACACTCCTCTCCTACTTCCTCTGTCTTTGCAAGTCTTACTCTGTGCCTCTTTCCTTAGGGCCAAATTCTCTACGTTTGCTCGAAGTGGGGGTACTCAGAAATGCTCAGAGACCGGGGATCCACACCAGACAGGACTCGGCCAGGTACTGGACACGCTCCCACTTGGAGGGCGAGATGAGGTAGAAGCCTTGGCTGTCTCTGGTGAAGACGCAGAAGGTGACGCTTGGGCCCCAAATGCAATGAGGCCTGGGCCCTGCAGTGTTGGTGGTGGGCGATGTGGTGTCAGGCTGGGAACTCGGGTCCAAGTGCATGCCAGGCCTGCCCTTCAACCTCCCCAGACCTCCCCCCACCCTTTTTTTTTTGTTCCTGAGGACACAGCAATGCTGTTAGAACCCATCCTTATGATCTCCTCTTAAAAGCACAGTCTGCAAAGACGGATCGTAGAAGAAGGTCACATTTCCAGCCCCGGAAGCCAGGAAAGCAGCACCTCTTGTCGGGAGGGACAAGTCAGCCCATAACGATGATGATGGTGATGAATCAGCTGATGAATCAGCTGGTGTTTATCAGCACTTACGATGGGCCAGGTGCAACGGATGCTCTCCTTAAATCTCGGAAACCACCTTGTTAGGATTCATGTTTACTATTCCTACTTGTAAATTTTGCTTGTTTGTGGGGAGGGTTGGACATATTTGGTAGTACTCCGGGATCACTCCTGGAAGCACTTGGGATGGAGCTGGAAGTACACATGCATTGCTGGGGACTGAACCGAGTTTGGCTGTGTGCAAGGCAAGTGCCCTGCCTGCTGTCCTCTCTGGCCCCAGCATTCCTATTCCAACCCAGAGAGGCTGGCTGCGTTTCTCGTGCTAAGCTCCTGGGAAGCTCTTCCTCCTCCCCAAGTCCTCTCTGGCCTCTTGTTGCAGTGTCCGTCCCAATTTCCTTCAGTTCACAGCAGAGATTCCCAGACATGCTCAGCCTGCCGCCCTCTTTCCAGAAAGGAACTCACTCCATGCTCCTTGGAACTACGGTCTTTTGGTTTGTTTTGTAGAACACACCCAGCAGTGCTCAGGGCCTATTGCTGGCCCTGGCTCTGTGCTCAGGAGTCACTTCTGGTGGGGCTCAGGGGGCCTGTATGTGGTGCTGGGGATTGAACCCCAGTCAGCTGTATGCAAGGCAAGAATCCTACCTGCTATACTATCTCTCTAGCCCTCATTTTTCTACTTTTGGTAGTGCCAGCTGTCAAACCCAGGGCCTCATATCTGCAAAGCAAGCCCTCTGCTGCTGAGCTGCACCCCACAGCCTCAGTCCCCTCATTCTTTCAGCTTCTGAGTCATCCTTTGACAATTCTGGCATCACCATCTCCAGGAAGGCTTCCCAGACTACCCTCGTCAAAAGTTATTTTTCATGGCTATAGTACTCACCTAGGAGTTCCTGTTTCCTCATTTCAGGGTGAGGGACAGAGGGGCATTTCCCAGGCAATGCTCAGGGCGCTGAGTTGGGGGCTGTGTAGCTCTCAGAGTAATGCGGCCAGCCAGGCCAGGCAGCTGAATCCTCAGGCCGTGAGGCTGCTCACTCGCTGTTTTTTTTTTTCTCTTGTTGGGTCATATCCAGCAATGCATAGGGGTTACTCCTGACTCCGCACTCAGGAATTACTCCTGGCAGTGCTCAGGGGAACATATGGGATGCTGGGAATAGAACCTGGGTCGGCCGCATGCAAGGCAAAGGCCCTACCCGCTTTGCTATCGCTCCAGCCCCCACTTCCTGTTTCTGAACACACACTTGAGACAGAGACAGAACAGCTCCGTGAGTGAGTGAGTGACCGAGTAACGAATGGATAAAAACAAGAGGACAGTGGAGAGTGAGTGTGACCATCTTAGCAGTGGTCGCAGGGGCGTAGGTGTGAGTCTGTCTTTCTCTGCCAGCCCTGAGCTGCCATCCTGTCCCTGGGCGCCAGTGACAGCTCGTGAGTAACGGTGGGTACCCACAGCGGTTCCTGGGTAACTGCAGTGACAGGGACACCAGAGATCATGAGCGGGGCCAGGGATAGCGGCTCCTTGGCCCTCAGAGGCCGGAGGCAGGGAAGGACTTCGAGTGGGGGTTCCCCTCTACCCCCAGCCCAGGACACCGAGGAGAGGGAGGTGCCAGGTCGGGGGAGGTGGAGGCAGGGAGGGGTGCAGGTAGGAGGAGGCCCCATGAAGAGCCCTCCTCGTCTTTCCCAGCATGCGGGTCCCCATCTGTCCTGCCCATTGTCCATCTGTCCATCCCTCCAACAGATACAGTACCTGGGTTCCTGGCTTCAGGGTGGGAACAAGGTCTTTGACCATTTTAGCCTCAGAAACGGTGACTCCGCCCACCACGAAGAGGATGAGGAGAGGGTGGTCGCTGGGATGGGGGCGGCTCACCTGAAAGACAGAATCCAACACCGAGCGGCTACGCGGGGCGACCTGCTTCACGGAACTGATCCTTTTAGTTAAAAATTAAAAAAAAAAATTTCAACCACTGAGGTTCTGTGGTTGACAATGCTTTTAAGAGTAATTTCTCATGCACAGAATCCCAACACCACACCCCCTAATTGGTCCTTTTAAATCTCACCCAATGAAGAGGCTTCTGGTTAAACTAGATAACGGGATGATTGGAGTGAGAATTAGGAAGAGCTAAAGGGAACCAGCCAGACACGCCCTCTCCTCTCGGAACTGTCACCTGTACCCTGGTGGGTGGCCTCAAGCCAGCAATTCTCACCCAGGAGCCTGGGGTGAGAGGACAAGGAAGGCTGAGGGGGAGGGGACATGCAGCCACTGAGCTTGGGCTCTAAAGAGGCCAGTGACAGATCAGAGAGCAGCGGGTATAGGGACACGGGTTCCAGGGCTCCAGCTGCAAACCTCAGACCAGGAAGGCGTGCACAGGACAGACGGCGAAGGGACATGGACACTGGGTGGAGGACAGTGAAAGGACAGGATGAGTGACACTGTGCATGGGTAAAGAGAGAGAGGGAGCTTGACATCGGGAGGGACTGTGAGTCACCCACTTCAGCACCCCAATAAACTCTGACTTCAGAAGCAGCTAGAGTTCTGTCTGGCTCTTTCATGCATCAGACAAGGATCCACTCAGGGGATGAAACCGTTTTTGTGATGACCTCATTGCCCGCACTGGATGGATGGACTGATAGAGGGAGTGTGGGGCCGTGTGCAGTGGACACTACCTCCATGGACCTACCTGAGCAGCCAGGATGCTACCCACAGACAGAGGGAGGGAGAGAGGGAGAGAGGGAGGGAGACAGAGACAGAGACAGAGATACAGAGAGAAACAGGGAGAGAGACAGAGACGGGGAGAGAAATAGAGTCAGAGAGAGCCAGGCTGGGAGTCAGGACCTAAGATGCAGACAAAATACATGATATGAGACTGACACCCAAGGACAGTAGACACAAGGGCCAGGAATACTGCCCCATATTTGGAAGCCTGTCTCATGAGCTGGGAGACAATGCAGGTTGGATAGAGCAGGGATCACTAAGTCAGTGATGGTTGGAGGGATGGGTCGGGATGGAAGACGTGTGCCGAAAGTAGATAAAGGACCAAACATGATAACCTCTCAGTATCTGTATTGCAAACCATAATGCCCCCAAATAGAGAGTATGGGGGAAACTGTCTGCCATGGAGGCAGGGGGAGGGTTGGGAAAGGGGGGTATAATGGGCAGACTGGTGGTGGAAAATGTGCACTGGGGGAGGGATGGGTTGTAACTGAATCACGGTGATTCAATTAAAAAAAAAGTACGAAGTACATGAACAACAACAAAAAGATGCAGACAAGGTTTAGCCAAAGCTGGGGCACCCGAGTCATCCCCCCACAGCCACCCAGGCCCGGGGCACACAGAGGTCCTGCCCGCCAGTGCCCCTCCTTAAGAAGCTGGTCCCTTCACGGCGCTGCCACATCCTGGGTCTTCACAGTACCCGGTGAGTGTGGCCTGTGGGCTTCTTCAGTACCAGGGAAAAGGGTGATGGGCTCACCCGCCCCATCAGCTGGGATTCTCTCCCCCTGGGGGTCTTCTTCCAGTTGCTTCCTCAGGCAGGGAGCTCCCTTAAGAGGAGAAGAGGTTTCTCCCCTTAAGAGGAGAAAAAGCTGGGGTTTCCTCACCCGGCCGCCCCCGCCTCCGCCACCCCCAACACACACCCACTTGAAAAACCCTCGTGGGAGGAGGTAAAAGCCATCCCCCCCCCCAAACACACACACCAACTCCAGCAGAGAGAACAGTTCAACAAATCGTGGCTTTTAGTCAAAACAAGTTGGGGGCCAAACACATGGAGTAGATAGAAACTATATTATTTTCAGGAGACTGAAACCCAAACCACAAATTCCAGAAACTGCATTTGTAAACTGCTGCCTATTAGACACGCTCATTTTAAATTAAATTAGCATGGTCGTGGGGGTTGTGGGGGAGGGGAGGTAGGCTTTGCTTTATTTATTAGATGGCTATCACGCTCTGGTCGGAGGAGATCAAGGAGCCCCAGACTCCGGCCTTTGGAGGGAGGTCTCGGTGCCTGGAAAACTCCAGGTACCCTCAACTGCTGCTCCCCAGCTTGAAAGCCCCCCACCCCCCTCCACCATTGCTGCCCTTTGAAGTGGAAAGCTTCATGTGGCTAACCACAAGTCCCTCTGCGGGGCCCAGGAGTGCGTTTAGCTGACTTGAAATGCTTTTTCAGAACCCCAGGGAGAAGGTTCATGGACATACTCTCTCTTCTCTGCAGCCCATCTGCTCTAGTTTTTGTTTTTTAACTTTAACTTTAAAAGTCTCCTATCTTTATTGAAGTAGCACTGTAGCACTGTTCTGTAGCACTGTTGTCCCATTGTTCATCGATTTGCTTGACCGGGCCCAGTAACATCTCCATTGTGAGACTTGTTGTTACTGTGTTTGGCATATTGAATACGTCACGGGTAGCTTGCCAGGTTTTGCTGTGCGGGTGAGACACTCTCGGTAGCTTGCCGGGCTCTCTGAGAGGGGCGGAGGAATTGAACTCGGGTTGGCCCCGTGCAAGGCAAATGCCCTACTGCTGTGCTATCGCTCCAGCCCTTATTGAAGTACTGTAATTTATAATACTTTTATTGATACCTTCATGCAAACATGGTTCTAACTTCATAACCACCCCCCAAATTTTCATTTACCCCCACCCATGTCCCAAAGGCCCCCTTTATCCACCACCCCTCTCCCCAATTCAGTTCAGAGTTCTGCTGCTTTTGGCCATTTGTTATTAAGGCCAATCCGTACTATCCCACACACTAGAGAGATTATTCTGTCTCTGTCCCCTTCCATTTGACTCATTTCACGCAACATGACACCCTCTAGTTCTATACCCAACACCCCATATGGTCCCCTCCAGCACTGATGCCTGAGTGCAGGGCCAAGAGTGAGCCCTGAGCACTGCCAGGTGTGGCCCAACAAAGAAAACAAAACATCAGAACACCAAATCTGCACTCAGACAGGAAAAGAATAGGAAATTATCACAACGTTATACGACAGAGGTGCCTGCTGATGTAAATATTCCAGCCTCTGCTTTTAATGTGCCGCTGAAATTTCACAGTACGTGCTCACTGTCAACATACCTGTAAACTGTCAACAACAATGACCCGTGTGTCTAAAGGCAGAGATCCAGGGTGTGGGAGCAGAAATTGTGTTCAAGGCATGGCCAGCTAGGGGCTGCAGTGATAGCACAGCAGGTAGGGCATTTGCCTTGCATGTGGCTGACCCAGGTTCGATTCCCAGCATCCCATATGGTCCCCTGAGCATCGCCAGGAGTAATTCCTGAATGCAGAGCCAGGAGTAACCCTTGTGCATTGCCAGGTGTGACCCCCCCCCCAAAAAAAAAAAGAAATGGCCAATTGATCCCCATGTTCAGGGCTAGCAAGGTGAGCTTGCGACCTGGACATGCTACAGTGCCCATCTCATTCACATGACTGACCCTGCTACATGCACTTGGAGGTGCCAATTTGATGGGTTTTACTGTGGTAAATACAGCCGGGGGTGGGTGAGGTCATTTCAGACCCTGCTCTCCTCCCACTTTCCCCCTGCTTATAGGAATCTCTCTTTAGGCTGATGCTACCTGGGGAAGGAAGAGGGTGCTCAGTGAGAAAAGCCGGTCTCACCTTGGAAAACTGCTGCACAGATTGCTCTGGGGAAGGGTGGCTGGACAACTCCGACATTCCTAGAGGAGCCCTTAAACATTTTCTTTTTTTTTCCTTTCCAGCTTTTTGGGTCACACCCGGCGATGCACAAAGGTTACTCCTGGCTCTGCACTCAGGAATTGCTCCTGGTGGTGCTCAGGGGACCATATGGGATGCTGGGAATTGAACCCAGGTCGGTAGCGTGCAAGGCAAACACCCTACCTGCTGCGCTATTGCTCCAGCCACTGCCTTTCAACATATTTTGAGAAGCTGATCTGTGCTGAATTATTGAAAAGAAAAAAAAAAGAAAGAAAGGAAAGAGGGCAAATGGTCCAGCCCAACAGCCCCGTTGGCATGGACATTGTAGCTTAAAGCAACAGAAAGAAGATGCATCTCCACATTGGCCAGTTCTGTTTTTCTTCTTCCTGTTTTGTTATGTTTTGGGGTCATGCCCAGAGCTGCTCAGGGTTTACTCCGGGCTCTATGTTCAGGGATCACTCCTGGCAGGATCAGGGGGAACATGTGTAGTGCCGGGGATTGAACTGGGGTTGGTCGTGTGCATGGCAAACGCCTTACCTGCTCTACTATTTCCTTAGCTCTCTGCCCAGGCTGGATAACTGCCCGCTTCCAGCTCTGCTGGGCTGGGACCAGTCTTCCCAGCACATGCATTTATTGAACTCTGAAAGGTCCCGATCACTGACACAGATTAATTCACAATTTCGAAGAGTCTTGGAAGCGGGTGTAACATTCTGTTATTTCCAAGAGCTCATTACAAATCAGATCCTGGCATGGAATGGGAGGTCGCCTGTTGTCCCTCGCAGATGCTTTCAATTTTAGAAACTGTACAGTGGGTTAAAAATAGATCCCATTTGTGTACTTCTCCTCTGTTCATCCCTGTACCACTGTGAAGGCCCTTCAGAGATGCCGCCCTTCCTTTGGTAGTCGCCGGGGAAATTCTGTGAGGGGCCGCCATCAGTTTTTTTTCTTTCCTTTTAGTTTTTGGGGCCATGCCAGGCTGTGATCAGAGCTAACTCCTGACTCTGTGCTTCAGGATCACTGCTGGAGGGCCGCAGGGACCACAGGGGGTATCAGGGATAGAACCCAGGTCAGCAGCATGCCAGGTAAGTAGGCCTTAGGCCTTGGACTCTCTCTCCAGCCCCCGCCCCCCAGTCACTTTCTTTTTTGTTTCTTTTTGGGTCACACCCAGCAATGTTCAGGGGTTACTCCTGGCTCTGCACTCAGAAATTACTCCTGGTGGAGCTTGGGGGATGCTTGGGGGACCATATGGGATGCTGGGGATCGAACCTGGGTCAGCCGTGTGCAAGGAGAATGCCCTCCCTGCTGTTCAATCATTCTGGTTCCCCCCCGCCCCCCCCCCCCCCCCCACACCCCAGTCACTTTCAAATGGGCTCTAGGGATGATGCTCACTGACCAGACTGAGCGAAGTTACTCTATTTCATAGCTGGTTCTACATTTTAATGCAAAGGACTATTAAACTGGAGAAATTTCACCATTTAGATGGCAAATAGCCTCTGGATTTGTGGCCAGAGCCTCTGTATTCATGGCCTGTGGCAGAGAGAAAGAGTTTCCACAGGTTTTGTCCTGGAGGGTTTGAGTTCTTATGAGGTCAGGTCCATAGAAGCGGAGATAAAGCTAGAAGGTGGGGCTGTTCAGAGAGGCTGCGTCAGAGCGAGGAGAGAGTATGGACTTCTGTTACCAACACCTGGGCCGCCTGCCCTGTGGGCCCTGCAGGGCAGAGGCCCACCTTCTCAGGACCACCACTGCAGGGTGACTTTACCTTCATGAACATGCTGAAGCCAGTTTTCAGGAGATCACTTAGGCCGGAAGACATGTGTTCAATGTCGACTGGATCTGTTCTCTCAGGGCTAAACATTTCCTCCACAACCTGCTTCAACAACGGTTTATAGGAGGCCTGGTTAAAAAACAAAACATTGCAGTCAGAAAAGGCTTTGTTTGGGGTGTCTAGAGAGAAGAGAGTATGATTTGCAACAAAAAGTGGAGCAGGTTTATTATTATATTGAGTAAGGCTATGCTTCCAGATGAAAAGATAATTTTCGCCTGCTCCTCTCTGGAAAGAAAGATGGCGGCCGCACGGGAGCCTTGTGGAAAGCGGGTTTGAGCCGGGCTCGGGGGAGCGGCGGGGACCTCATGGGAAGGGGGGCTTTGTGGGCCGTCCCCCACGCCCCACCAAGGTCGCCAGCTGCCCCCCACGAGCGGCTCTCCGGCACGGCCACGGCCGCGGAGGCACAAGGACTTAGCACAGAGAACCAGCCGCTTGGAGCAGAAAAGCAAATGGACTTGTGTTGATCCGCGCCACCAAGCCTGCCCGGAGGGGGAAGGGCGTTGACCAGCCCGCCTGCTCCTCTCTGGAAAGAAAGATGGCGGCCGCACGGGAGCCTTGTGGAAAGCGGGTTTGAGCCGGGCTCGGGGGAGCGGCGGGGACCTCATGGGAAGGGGGGCTTTGTGGGCCGTCCCCCACGCCCCACCAAGGTCGCCAGCTGCCCCCCACGAGCGGCTCTCCGGCACGGCCACGACTCCAGGGCACAGAAACCAATCTCTTAACTAGCTAACTTTTAATAGAAATTCTTCCAGGGTCAATAAGTAAAATAGCAGAAATTCAAAACCGCGCGGCCGCTATTGCGGCCGCGCGACCTCATTTTATTCTTAAACCAAGTTGTAGAAAGCAAATCATTTCACAACGCTGTTTCAGCATGTCTGATTGGGGGGGGGGGGTGGGTCGTAAGCTCTAAACAATAGTTGTGCATCTTCTATCGAAATAATCTATCTAGTCAAAGTAGATAGAGTATTAACTAGAACTCATCTGCCTCACAATAATTGGGAGGGGTGGGAGGTGGGGGTCTATTGGGGTTCGGGGTTAAAAATGAGTATTGGTAAAGGGAAATGTGTTCGGTATCTACATGACTGAGACCTAAACCCGAAAGCTCTGTAACTTTTCCCACAGTGATTCAATAAATAAATAAATTATATAAAAAAAAAATAAAAAAAAAATACTTCAGTAAAAAAAAAAAAAAAAAAAAAGATAATTTTAACAACATACATCGCGGGGCGGGGGGGGGGGGAGTAGCTTCACCCCAGCATGCCAGCATTATTTTGTTTCTCACATTCCCCTTTACAAATACAAATATCAAAATATCGATATCTTTGATTAAAGGCCCGATTTTTAATGTATATGCTTTTAAATTTATTGTTGTATTTGTTTTGCTAATATTTTATAGAGGTCTGTTCATCAGAAACATTTGTTCATAATATTCTGTTCATCAGAAATATTTGTTCACTGTCACTGTCCTCCCATTGTTCATTGATCTGCTCGAGCGGGCCCAGTAACATATCCATTATGACAATTGTTACTGTGTTTGGCATATCGAATATGTCATGGGTAGCTTGCCAGGCTTTTCCATGCGGGCGAGATACTCTTGATAGCTTGCCAGGCTCTCTGAGGGACGGAGGAATCAAACTTGGGTTGGCCATGTTGGCTGCTTGCAAGGCAAATGCCCTACCGCTGTGCTATCGCTCTAGCTATTTGTTCATAATTTAAAAAAAAAAAACTTTTTTATTAGCGAATCACCGTGAGGCACAGTTACAGACTTAAAAACTTTCGTGCTTGGGTTTTAGTCATACAATGATTGAGTACCCATATTCCACCACCAATGGTCCCAGAATCCCTCCCACCACCCCCACCCCCTCCCACCACCCCCACCCCCTCCCCTCCACCCCACCCTGCCTCTTTGGCAGGGCATTCCCTTTTGCTCTCTCTATCTTTTTGGGTATTGTGATTTGCAATAGAGGTGTTAAGTGGCCATCATGTTCAGTCTATAGTCTACTTTCAGCCCGCATCTCCCATCCCGAGCGGGGCCCTCCTAGCACCCTTTACTTAGTGGTCCCTTGTCTATCTGAGCTAAGGCCCGATTTTTCTATCTAGATTTAATGCAACAGTTTTATGTGCGATGTGTGTCAGTATGCAAAATATTATCTATAAAGCCATTGTATAAATTTATCCTTAATATGCTTAGTATCAGACTCCCCTGTTTCTAGTAAAGCAAGTATCTTCTTACGATGCACTGTTGTTGCTACCCAGACCTAAAGTCATCCTCCCTTCATCTATAGAACTCGACTCCAAGCACATCTTGGCCACAAAAAAGAAGCCGAGGTAGCAAGAAACAAATCTGCGCACAGCCAGGACTTAGAGAAGGCAGGTCACGTGGTTCTCTAAGACTAAGTAGAATTAAGTGGATGCTAATTGTAAGGTTCCATGAATGGGGCTAGATGCGTCACCAAGGCTGTGTTTGGAGGCGGCTGCTCCTCTGAGCACATTCTCCCCGAGGACTCAGCTAATGCTCTGCTCTTTGCCTCCCATTGGTGGGACCCCTCCCTCTCAGAGCTGTTGCCTCATTCCACAGGGCACTGGTGGGGGGCGTATGTCGGTTGGAGGGAGGAGGGAAGGCTTCCATCATGACACTCTGACCTAGGAGACCCCCCCAAAACAGCCAGGTGTTGGCAGGCCCCCTATGCATGTCTTAAACTCTATCGCTCCCCTTAGATCACACATCTCTGGGCTGGTTCTCCTAAATCGTGAGGGCCTTTGCTGGAATGATCTTATCTTTCAGCCCCTTGATCTCTGATCATCATCAGACCCTTTATTTCAACTGTCTTAAATCACTTAATCACTTAACTTCCCGTTAGTCGTCGATTTGCTCGAGCGGGCGCCAGTAACGTCTCCATTTGTCCCTGTCGCGTGCTAGTGTAGCCCAATGGCATCTGTTCGCTCCGGGAACATGAAGGGCCTCATACTGTCTTAAAATATCTTAAAAATAGAATTGGGGGCCTGGAGTGACAGTACAGCAGGTAGGGTGTTTGCCTTGCATGAGGCCAACCTGGGTTTGATTCTCAGCATTCCATATGGTCCCCTGAGCACCACCAGGAATAATTCCTGAATGCAGAGCCAGAAGTAACCCCTGTGCATTGCCAGGTTTGACCCCAAAAGAAAAAAAAATAGAATGGCATATATCATTGGAGTGAGTTCCATGTAACTGGAAATTTAACTGGTGCAGGGTGCAGGGAGATTTAATGTAGGTGAAATTTATTTGACTGTTCCATGGATGGGAGTGGCCATCTACTCTTTATCAGTCAGAGAAACTACTGCTGGTCCTGAGAGCTGGGAATTACACAGGCACATGGACAAGAAAACACTGATCAGGAAAGACCAGTAAGACAAATGAAAAAATGAAAACAAAAACTCAAGACATACCTTCTTCCTATGAAGTGACACCATGACAGATATTTAAACTGTATCACCCAGAGATTTGAAAATACACTTCTCTAGGCCACTTCCTGTGCTGCTGCTGGAGTGGAAGCCGTGCTCGTCACACACCTGATCACTGGCTCACAACACTCACAAACTGACAGATGCCTTGGACCTGGCTATTCCAGTGCTGAGAGCACCCTACCTGCTCCGGCCCCTCAAGTCTTAGTTTTTTGAGAAGTCTTTACACTGTTTTCCATAGAGGCTGATCCAGACAACATTCTCATGAATAGTAACTTTTGCCCCCCCATTATTTGCCAACCCTGGTTGTTTCTATTATTAAAAATTAACAAATTGGGTCAGAGAGATAGTACAGTGAGTAGGGCACTTGTCTTGCATGTGGTTGACCTGGGTTTGATCCCTGGCAGCCCATATGGTCCTCTGAGCCCTGCCAGGAATGATCCCTAAGCTCAGAGCCAGAAGTAAGCTCTGAGCACTTCCAGGTGAGACCAAAAAACAAATTAATGAATTGTGGGGTCAAGACAATAGCTCAATGGGTTGGAGATTATGTTCACACACAAGAGCCCAGCTTTTATCCCTGGCACTACATGGCCCCCAAAGCACTGCCAGGAGTGATTCCTGAGCACAGACCTGGGAGTAGCCCCTAAGCACCACTGGGTGTAGCTCAAAAACTTAAGTAAATGAATAAATAATAGATATTTATTCTATTATTTATTCATATAATTATTTATTATATTTATTCTGGAGCACCTGCTTGACATACAAGAGGGCCCTGAGCTACTCTGAGATGCTGCATGGTCTCCCCAGAATCACAGAGAGCAATTCAAAAAAGAACTGCCCTCCTGTTGTTCATCGATTTTCTCAAGCGGGCCCAGTATCGTCTCCACTGGAGACTTTGTTGTTACTGTGTTTGGCATATCGAATACATCACGGGTAGCTTGCCAGGCTCTGCCGTGCGGGTGAGATACTCTTGGTAGCTTGCCAGGCTCTCCGAGAGAGGCGGAGGAATCGAACTCGGGTCGGCCATGTTGGCTGCATGCAAGGCAAACGCCCTACTGCTGTGCTATCGCTCCAGCCCCCCAAAAAGAACAACAACAACAAAATGTGTAGGGGCCAGAGAGATGGCTTAACAGACGGAGCACAGATTTTGCAGGTGAGAGGCCTGAGTTTTTTCCCTAGCACTGAACTGCTCAATTCCCTGGCACCTGGGAGAGCCACTACTAAGCTGGAAGTGACCCTAAAAGGAAACAAAAACAGCAAAGCAAAACCAACCTCTATACCCAAAAAAAGGAATGATTCATGCACAGGAGACCTGGGAATAAAGCTTACCAACATTAATTGGGGCTCTCTAGGTTCTGAGACTTGGGGACCTTAGTTTATTTTTCCAGAAATAAGCAGGCATACTTTTGGAATCATAAAATAATGTGAAAAGTATTTTAAAAGAATGAGTAAACAAGGTGATAGAATCAGCCTCTAATATCTATATATCTATATCTATATCCCTTTCCTGAGAAAACTGTTTGTCAAGTCCATCTAGCTCAGTCTTCAGGACATTTAATCCCTTATATTTAAATTTTAATCTCTCTGCAGGTGAATGAGACCAGTTGTAGTTACTAGAAGAATAGAAAGAG